GATATTAACCTTTTTATTTTTCATTCTCTTTAGATATTCCTGTGGATTTGAGTTACAATTTGGTGTTATTTCCTTACTCCAGTACAGCTTTGCTCTCACCTGCCTCCTCTAGGTTATTGTCAATCATAAAATTTCTATGTTACTAGCCTAACAGTGCAAGCGTGTGCATATGCATGTCATTTTATTGAATTACTCTTTAAATCAATTAGGAGAAGAAAGGGAAAGAAAAAAATGCAATTACAGTGTCTTTTATAATTATGTACATAGTTAACTTTATTGGCACTCTGTTTTTTGTGTGGATTCAAATTACTATTTGATGTCATTTGCTTTCAGCCTGAAGAACTCCCTTTAGTATTTCTTGTAAAGCAGATCTCCTAGCAACAGAGTCTCTCAGTTGTTGTTTTTTTTTTTCTTGGCACTGTCTTGGTTTCACCTTCATTGTTAAAAGATAGTTTTGCTATATATAAGATTCTTAGTTCACAGTTGTACTTTCAGCACTTTGCATATTTAATCCTAGTGCCTTCTGGTTGCCTTTGCTTCTGATGATAAGTCAGTGTTAATTTTATTGGGGTTCCTGTGTATGTAATGAGTCATTTTTCTCTTACAAGATTTTGTCTTGCAATATTTTCACTATTATGTGTTTGGATGTGGTTCTCTTTGTACTTATCTTTGGAGTTTGTTGAACCTCTTGAATATTTAAATTAATAATGTTTTTCATCAGATGTGGAAAGATTTCAGCCTTTATTTCTTTAACTGTTTTTTTTCTGCCCTTTTCTCTTTCTCTGGCGCTGTTCATTTTTCTTCATTCTTTTTTCTCCCTACCCTTAAAATTGCATAATCTCTATTGATCTATTTTTAAGCTCTCTGACTTTCTTCTTCCAGTTCAAATCTGATGTTGAGCTTCTCTAGTGAATTTTCCATTTTAGTTATTATACTTTTTTATAGGTCTGTTCTCTTTTATAGGTCATGTTAATGGTTTTAACCTCATGCTTTTAAAAATAAAAACCTTTCACTTTCTACTCTTATGAGGGAGCAACTTCCATTGGGTGGAGTTCCTTAAAACTTCCTAATATCCCTTACCTAGTGTTTAAGATACTCCAGAGAAGAATAGTAAGAATATTAGGAGATATATATGCATATATGTGTGTGTGTGTGTGTGTGTGTGTGTGTGTATATATCTCTACATCGATATATCTATATGAAAACCTTTCACTTTCTACTCTTATGAGGGAGCAACTTCCATTGGGTGGAGTTCCTTAAAACTTCCTAATATCCCTTACCTAGTGTTTAAGATACTCCAGAGAAGAATAGTAAGAATATTAGGCGATATATATGCATATATGTGTGTGTGTGTGTGTGTGTGTGTGTGTGTGTATGTCTCTACATCGATATATCTATATCTATATATAAACATATATAGGTGTATGATATATCTTTTTGAGCAAAATATATATATTCATACACCCAACCGACAGTGTTTGTTTTAAAGAAATAGCTCATGTGATTGTGAGAGCTGCTAAGGCTGAAATTTGTAGGATAGACTAGCAGGCTGGAAACTCAGGCAGGGTTTCTGTGTTATAGTCTTGAGGCAGAATTGCTTCTTCCTCAGGAAAATTTGCTTTTAAGGCCTTCAACTGATTAGATGAGGCCCAGTGCATTATGGAGGGTAACCTGCTTTATTTAAAGTCAGCTGATTAGAAATGTTAATCACATCCTCAAAGACCTTTATAGCAACGTGTAGACTAGGATTAGACCAAACAGTTGGACATCGTGGTCTCGCCAAGTTGACACATAAAATTAACCTTCAGACTTAGGTTAACCATTTAATTTATTGCCCAAACTGAAATTCTTTTGAGACTAAGGAGTACTAAAAGATAATAAAATTATGTAATTTTAATTTTTGACTGACAAATTTTTTTATCATATTAGCGACCATATAAAATGCCCCTATTAAATTCATTTTAAAATAAAATTATTTTAAAAAATTAACATATATCCATGTACATCAGAGCACACAAAACTGTTTCATATTGATTTTCTCAACCTTAAAAAGAACATAAGTAGAATTCACAATAAAAATTTATAAATATTATTTAGCTTTTTAGTCATAATTTATATGTAATACTGAGTCTTTATTTTCCTGAAAGAAATGTAGTTTGAAATATGGTTGCATTGTTTTTATTTGTTTTATAAAATTATTGTTTTCTTCAAAGTTTCATTGAATGGTTACTAAACTTGAAATTGTTGATTCTTTTCAATATTTATTTGCCATAAGTCATAATTTTTAAATTTGAGAATATAATATCTCTGTAGGTACTGAGATTCCTGGTGATTTCAAAGCAAATTCTACTATTTTGAGGCTATTCTAAATTTTGATTTTTTAATACTTTAATATGAATATATTCCAGCCCATATATTTTCACAGATACTGTCTTTTTTACTCTATTTAGAGTACCTTTCTCAATGAGTTCTTACAAGACAAAGTTTGTATCTATTTAGAAGTCTTTTGAACATTTTACTAGATTTAGATGCTGCTAGAATGTAAGCATTTTGATGTTCATTTCATTCTGGTACATAATATAAACTAAGTAAAAAAAATATGGTTCTTTGTATAAATTAAATCTTGAATTAAAGATTTCCAACTGACTAAACAAAACGAAGTTAAGATTTATAGTGCTTGATTGAAAAGAATTTAGTTCTATTGATGATTTTACAAAGCGAGTCTAAAAAGGCTCAAAGATTTTTAAGATATGCAGCAAAAAGGGAAAACATATACTGCCATGCAGGTTTTTTAATTCAACATTATATTTGACTCAAAATATTTTAGTTCTATTTCTTTAACTATGTGTGTATATTTGTATTTAAATATTTACAAACTTTGATTGGTATACTGTCACGTCTTTGGTGGATGGAATTGTGAAATATATTTGCTTCTACATTGATTGGTAGTGTATTGCAGTTTATATGGCACAGTTGTGAATGATATATGAATCACAACCATGTCCAAGTTTATTTCTGTTCCATAATTTTTTTAATTAATAAGAACTTTGTTTTTTACTCTATAATGCTGCACTTGGCCAAAATTTATATTTGTGTTGTCATTGTAAAAACACAGTTTTATTTATCCTTATTGTTCACAGATTCCATTTTGCAAATTCTCCTACTTACAAAAATTCATTTGCAACCCCTAAATTAGTACTCATGGTCTTCTGTAGTTATTCATGGACATTTACAGAGTAATAAAAAATTTGGATTGTTCAACACATATTCCCAGCTGAGGTAAAATAGGCAATTTTCTGCCTCCTTCTTTCAGCTCTTACACTGTAAACAAGTGTCCTTTGCGTGGTGGCACATTTTTTTGCATTTTTAATGATGATTTGTTGGTGATTCCCTGGTTAAAATGGTACCCAGGAACAGTCCTAAAGTACTATTTACTGTTCCTAAGTGCAAGAAAGCTGTGACGTGATGTATTTTACAGAGAAAATACGTGTTTTAAATAAGTTTCATTCAGGCATGAGTTAGTGCTATTGACTGACTATGAGTTGAGTGTTAGTGACTCAAAAATGTATATTCACTAAAGTATCTTTAAGCAGAAACACACATGAAACAAAATTTATTTGATCAGTTGATGAAAATTTAGCCAGAGGCTCAGAGGAACCTAACTCTGTATTTCCTCTAAGAGCAGTGCTTTGGTTTTCACTAATTCATTGTTCACAGTGGCTTTATAGAGCTTAATTACTGTGAACAGTGAAAACTGACTGTAATTTTATTTTTGTCATTGAACTTTTAAACTGAGTTTAAATATCAGTTATAGCAATGTCATGTGTTTCATGTTTTACAGAATGAACTTCCAATAGCTTTACTTTGATTCCATGAATTGGATGAAAACCATCAAACCATTGTTGGAATTCACTGATTTTTCTAGTTGATATATCTCCTGACACTGATGGGATGCTGGCATCATTTAAGTGTGAATTTCTTCCTCTAATAGAGCCAACAAAATAACAGCTGTCACTTAACTTTTGACTATGTAAACAACATAATTTATAATCAGAGCTGAGTAAGATAAATTTAAAGAACAATCATTTGATCTAATTGAAAAGTCAGGCCTTACAGAGTAATATGTAAAACATCTCCATATACTTTTCTTAAATTGATGTATTCAGGCCAGTCATAAGCAGGAGCAGCGGCACTGAATATTTCTTCCACCTTCACTCAGGACCTAAGGTGTTAGCTGTCCCTAGCCGCTCCTAAGTGCACTTCCTTTTTCTGTAAATGGCTTGGATGCTGTCTTTGAGGATGAAGGGTCAGTTATAGCCCATCCGGAGATGCTCAGGGCCTTTCATATTTAACCACGTTAAAATGGCATCTGATTTCACTACATATGCCTCTTAATACTGCTCAATGAGATCATGGCAGAGCCTGGAAGTAAAAGTCCTGGCTTATTATAATGTTACTATAATAAAAAATCACCAGAAAATGGAAAATCCAGGACAAATAGTCAGTTGGGTGGGCCAGTGGGACAATGGGCATAAATTGTGACTGTTTCAGGGAAAATGACACAAATGGACACTTTACCAGACACATGTTTTTTCAAAAATCTCCTAACCCCAAACTCTTAATTACTATTTTCCTGTCACAAAAGACTGTGCCCTCAGTGTGATTCACTTGTTTATGACTAGTAATTTTCACAGCATTATGCACATGGAAAAGAATGTGAAGCATTCTTCTTAGTCAGTTTTATTCATTGTGGCATTTTTTCTAGAACATTTTCTGTTTCTCTTAAAACCTTTATTAAATTTTGCATGTTTGCATTTTTAAACTAAACACATGTAATTCATTCAGGAAGTTATTCTCCCTTAAATTAGTTCTTTTGTTATATTAATCATACAGTAATTAAAAATGAAATTTGGGAATGAAAGAAAAGCAGTTTTTACATATATTTGATACAATCAGATTATCTGAATATGATTATAATAATACTTTATATTCTATTACAGGATTAAGTACACGGATTTACCATATATCCTATGACCCTTTACTGGAGCCTAGTGAGATAGGTAAGTGAAAAGCATTTTTTGAAGAGCTATTTCTGAAACATTAAATAATTTGATCTCATAGGTTCCTGACAAAGTGGCAGTGGGACATATCTTACTTCACTGATTTACCTCTTTTTCTCTTTAAGAAAACATTGGTAGAAATGTCATCTTTACATGTAACATTTCCCTAATATTCAATAAACATTTTTCCAGGGAGCAGTAGGTTTATTTTCTATAATAATTATAATGAAGACATTGTTAATAAGACACAAGTTTGACATGCTATAACCCTTAAAGCACTAAAAATAATCATTAAAAGCAATGTGGTACCCTGGATTGGATCTTAGAACTGAAAAAAGCCATTAGTGAAAAACAAGTGAAATCCAAATGATTTCAGAAATGTGTTCAGATCAAATGAAGTCTGTAGCTTAGTTACTAGTAATGTACCAACATTAATTTCTTAGTTTTGATAAAACCATGGCCTGTAAGATGTCAACTTTAGGTAAAACTGGGCAAAAGGTATATAGAGACTCTGTAGTATCTTTGTAAAGTTTCCGTAAATCTAAAATTATTCCAAAGTAAAAGTTTATTTAAAGCAGGAAAAATGAAGGTCTATTAATTTGAAAATTATAGTTTATAAGTAGCTTTTCTGTGTAGTAATTTGATAAATCGAAATTATTAATTACCTTTAAAAATCCAGATTTCATGAAATAGAGATGTAGGGA